TTTTTTTTGGTTTTTCTCCGGTACCGGGAACCGAACTCACGACCTTGCGCTTGCCAGGCAAGTGCTTTGCCGCTGAGCTAAATCCCCAGCCCCTCTACTTTTATTATTATAAAAAATCAATAATCATTTCTATTTTGAAAGAGGAGAATTACATTGGACATTTTACCTGAAGAACAGAAAATGTATTTCACAAATTTCTATCATGCTTAGACATACCCTGGCAAGATCTCTACACCTGACTATGTCCTCTACTGGAGTAAGCAGAAGTAAAACCACCCACTAAAAATATAACTATTTATTAAATAACAGGAGTGTTCTGAGAATTTTTGAATGCACATGACCTTAACTAAATGCGTTAAAGTGAAACCTGCTTCTTACAACACCAGCACACACCCCTTCCCTGAAAAAAAAAAAAATCCCAAAGGCTGAAAGAACTGTGAGCAACAGAGCGTGGAGACAGGAGAGCATCAAGAGCCCCACTGAAAGCTTCACATGATGGCCTCAAGGTCAAATAAAATTTACCTTGGCTTTTGGAGATGGTTTTAACATCTCTTTCTCTGAGCCTTTTGTCAAAAGGATGGGTAGAGAGTTCTTACAACTGGCCTCCTGTAAAAGTAGAAACATTACAGATTAAAGAACATAAGGTACACAAGGCATTACCGGATTGAGTTGTTCACATCAGAAGTTGGTGAGAAATCTTTTCCTCTAGCCAGGCGTGGTGGCACATGCCTGTAATCCCAGCACTCAGGAAGCAGAGGCAGGAAGATCCTTGTGAGTTCAAGGGCAGCCTGGGTGACAAAGGGAGCTCAAGGCCAGCCTGAACTGCCTAGTGAAACCTTGTCTTAAAAAGATAAAACAAAACAAAACTTCCTTTCCTCTTTTGTTTGTCAAATGAAACAGTACAGTAAGGTGAGATGGTACTAGGTATGAAACATGCAGGACCTATATGTTCAAAGATGCTCACTGAAATCTTATGTACACTGTCATGTTATTTTGCACACAGATATGCACTACACACAACTTATCTCTCCTTTTGAGAACGGAAGAGTTAATTCTTCAAGACATCAACCAACAGAGTTGCCAACTTTCCCATGATATTTCACAGATGGGTTTTGACTCTTTGCGTAGCTTATCTTAAACAAATCCCTTCAGATAATTCACTAAACCAGTATGGAATAGTGATACTCACTAATACTCACTGAGGAGCAACATCTGAGTATCTCTTCCAAAGTTATTAAACTGCTAAGTCCTTGGTTCACATCAAATCAATATTTACAAAAATAGTGGCAGAAAATACAAAGAGGCAGCTTAGATGCAATAGACAGATTATTCACTTTTACACAATAAACACACATAATCTTGTTTTGTTTTTCAATAATGTAGGGCAGAGCTCACATCAATGGTTGTTCACCATTTACTTGGGTATGTTTTCCATAGATAACTATAATCTGTCTTCAAATTAAGAAAGAAAGATGAAGACTACTACAGATAACAACCATGCCAAGGAGAAGTCAGATTTCTTTCACCTGCTCCATAAGCTTTACCCTTGCATCCTATGCCTGACACCACTGTGCCTAAAATCCAATCATCTCAATCACAGCCTTTAAAAAAAAACTATGGCTGGGCACACCTGTAATCCTAGCACTCTGGAGGCTGAGGCAGGAGGATCACTGCAAGTTTGAGGCCACTGTGGGCTACATAGTGAGTTCAAGGCCAGTCTGAACAGTCTGAACTGCATAGCAAAATCCTGTCTCAAAAAGACCAAAACCAACCAAACAAACAAACCCAAAAAACATTTACTCTAGGGTTAGTTCATTGTACTCTTTCAAACAATATTTTAGTTTGCATACTTTACAATATTACTCAAATTAACTGGCTTTATATTCATTTATTTCTAAAGGGAACAATATACTATTAGGATCAAATGTCCCTAAAGAAAATAACGATACCATTTTGCTACAGTTGAGTCTTATGATGTATCAGGAACTGTGCTAAAAACTTTGCGTTCCTAATACTACCCCCTCAAAGATACAGTTGTCACCTCCTCCCTGCCTTTTATGGTAACAGTGGAGGCTTAAAAAATTATATAAAATTACCTAGCATCACAAAGTACTCAATGATGGTTCTGTCTAAACTTTAAGGCCAAAACTCTTATCATCTTTACTTATTATGTTTCATCACCAATACACATGACATGTAAAACTAGTACATTCTGAAGCTGCAATATTCTCAAATCAGCAGAGTTTTTCAAGGTCAACTATCTACTTGCTTAATTTGAGAGATGAGAGACTTGGTGGTGAAATGCCCAGGATTTATGTCAAGAGTGATGGAGCTGTGACCCATGACTGGACCACAGGGCTGTATACAGCACCTGTTCTTGGGTTTGTGCTTGGAAACAACATTCCCAGACTTGGAGATCAGGAGCCTCTTCTCAGCTTGGGATGCTGCCAATACTCTCAGCTGCTTGTGGCTAACATACAGCCCTATGCAAAGACCCAAGCGCACATTTCTGAGATCTTCAAGTAAGTGCACATTCTGGTCTCACCCTTTCCCACCAGTTACAACACCTGCTTGTGGGAAGTCGCTTACTGGAAATAGTGAACGACCCTATTCCCACTTCTGACTCACTGTGGGAATATGTTATATTCAGCATGACATTTAGGTGAGCCAAGTTATTAACTGTATAAGCCATTGCATAATCTGACCACAGTTGGTTAAAATAATTATGTCTAATCCTTGCAGCCCCCCTGTAAAGTACTGGTATGTAAATGCTAGAATGTGATAACAAGGAAATCAGGATGAATGTGAAGGGAAGTTAACAGGAATGGATAACCTTTGTTTACGATGAGCTCAGTGTTTACAAACTCCTGTAATTCTTTCTTCCGTGGGCACAAACTAGAAGTTACAATATTTCTTCATTAACTCTATTTCCTCTCTCTGTCCCTGTGAACTAATGAGGCCAAGGATAACAGCTTTTTCCCTGTAAAACTGGGAAAGCATTTTCTCTAAGCATTTATCTGAAAACATCACCGACATGCATTGTCTATTTTGTATTATATGATTTTAAATTCTGACAGTAGAGACAAAGTACAGTTTTGTAGAAGGAGCAATGAACCAGGAGTCAGGAGATCTGGCTTTTTGCCCTGCTTCTCTAACTAACCAGCTGTAAGAACCTGGGCAACCCTAAGGGGCCTCCCTCAGTTCAAAAAGCAGTAAAATAAAGGGGTTGGATTACACAAACTCCCCTAGTCATGTCTCATTCCAACTTTTAAGATTTTATTATTTTTCCAGGAAGAAGTAATATTTCTTGACAAAAAGGCAAGGCATCATCTACTCAGAATTATACTCCCAATGCCCCAACCAGAATGCCACTAAACAGTGGCCCACTGCCACTCAGGAAGACATAAGCCAGGGATTTCAGAGCCACAGGACACAGGGACATCTTCTTGAAGGGCCAGTGATGCTTACATTTCTGGAGAAAAATAATTCAACTAGCACTTTAAGTAAATAATTAGGAATAACAACACAATCTTTTTAAACATCATAAAGACTGAAATACTTTTAAGGTAAAATTTTTAAAAAACTATTTTTAAAAGGTCATTTGTGCTCGGGGGCTGGGGATTTAGCTCAGCGGCAAAGCGCCTGCCTGGCAAGCGCAAGGTTGTGAGTTCGGTTCCCGGTACTGGAGAAAAAAAAAAAAAGGTCATTTGTGCTCATAGGAGTAAGAGAATATGAAACCTATGTCTACAGAAAAACTTACAAATGCTCACAGAAACACTATTAATAATAGCCTTAAAATGACAACAACACAAATGTCCATCAACTGATGGATAAACAAAACATTGGATAGCCACACAGTGGAATTTTATTCAGCTCTAAAAAGGAATAAAGTATTGATAAGTGCTATGACATTGATTAACCTTGAAAACATTACACTAAGTGAAAGAAGTCAGACAGAAAAAAAGATACATAGAGGGTGACCACTTATGTGAAATGTCCGTGATAGGCAAATGTGGGGTGTCAGAAGGTCGGGTTAGAGGTTGGCGTGGGCCAGGAGGAAGGAAGAATGCAGAATGACTTGTAAGGGGTCTGCCCTGTTTTTTCTACTGAATTTCCTCTGGGGTGATAAAAGTGCTCTGGGGTTAGGGCAAGTTGACAGTTGCGCAACTTTGCGTTAACATGCTAAAAATTAATATACTTTCAAGTGAATTTTATGGCATGTGGATTATATCTAAGTTTTTTACAAAGCCACTTAAAGCAAGTCCCCAGGCTTCCAGGGCAAAGGGAAGAAGACCTGGGTTTGTGTATAAATGCTTACCTTAAAAGTACTTCTTTGAAGAGGTTTGAAAGGTGATGTTTTATGCTTCTAAGTGTTAAATTCTATGTGGGTATAACTCATTCAATAAATATTAACTGGGTCCTATTATGGGTGGCATTCCAATGTGGGTACTGGAGAAAAGAGTAACAAATCAAACAGGAATCTATTCTATATGGTACATTTACATTTATTTTAAACAAATGGCCTACTTAAATGAGACCTTAGCTGGACCGATTGCTCATTCTAATGACCTTTGTGCAGCAGTCACTTGCTTAAACCAGCTGTGTCGAAGTATCACGAAAACAGCATTTAACAATACAATAGAGAAAGAGAAAAAAACACCTTGTTTATGACGGCTTTGCTGGCTCACTGTTCAGCCTTTGGGACATTTAAAAACAGAACAGCACTCGCCGTTCCTCAGTCCAGGACACTACTCCTGGTTCCTCCACCCTCGGTACCTTACTTCATCCAAGCTGCGCTCAACATTACTGGGGAGGATCCCTCCCCACAACACCTTATCCATTAACCCCCTCTTCTCTCCCTGTTATTGCTTTCCGTCCCCTATCCTTTTTCATCCTGACCTGTGAGAGGACTTGGTCAGTCTTGTCCATGAATATGTCCACAGGGCTTACAAAATGTTTTGGACTGAATGAGTAAACTGAACAACTGGAAAATAAATGGAGAAAAATTCATTCCTGAACTTTCAGACCATCCTCTGCACTCCCTTCTTTGATGGGAGGGAAAAAGCTTTCTTGGACTAAGGGATTTGTGGCAGGTACTGAGCACTGGGCTGAGGTAACGGGGGCCATGTTCACAGCACCCTCTGAAGTGTGGAGCCCACCAAAGAAGCTGCTGGCATCCAGGGACTCCAAGGCCTAGTCCAGAAGCCCCTGCCATGGCTCTGGAAGGGGGAACCAGCTCTGGAAGGAGTGCCTCCATGGGCATTCAATGGACCTGCCACCGTCCAGCCTGGGCAGTGTAGACAACAAAGGCAGGGGCTGGGGATTTAGCTCAGGGCACAGTGCCTGCCTGGCAAGTGCAAGGTTGTGAATTCGGTTCCTGATACCAGAAAAAAAAAACAAAAACAAACCAAACAAACAAAAAAATAAAGGCAATGGTCATGGTGTAGAGGGAGCAGATTCCAGGTGATAGAGATGCTCCTTCCAGGGGCACCCACCTTTTGCCAGTCCCACTGTCTCACCACTTAGGTACACCTGGAATCACTGGGTTGGGACCTCTCCCACCAAGGCCTAGGTTGCCAGTCCGTGGTGCTGGTAGAAGTCTAATC